GGGCCCAAGATACCTTTGCAAGGCGCTGTTACGTTCATCCGCCCACGGGGAAAAGTCAAAAATTTTAAGAACTGCCACATTTATGTAAAACTCACCTCCTGGATCAGGGGGAAGACTGTACGCGGATTCGACGTCACTGTTCATTGCAACGACGCCTCTGTGAAGGGTGTCCGTTCCCTTCGGCAAACACTGCAATTGCGTCTCCAAGAAAGTTGCTCACTTCGCATCGCTTACAATTGCAGGTGCCAAGCGCGGAAGAAAAACCACTGAAATAAAAGAAAAAATTGTACTATTGTGTAGGCCTACGTGTGCCTGTGCCTTTCGGTGTGGTACTTCAGACATACGAATTCGTCCTATCCTGTTTGCCCTATTGTGATTTATGCTACTGATTTCTTAAGGTCTAGCGGTTAGAACGCTGGCCTTGTAGTCCTGGGGTCTCGGGGTTCGATTCCCGGCGGTGCCCGAATTTATAACTTGTGTTGGGCAAGGCCGTGGTCTAGGCAACACGGAGTTTTCCTCCGTGGCATCCCATTCACACACAGAAGAAGGCAATGGCAAACCACTTCTGGATCATCTGCCCAGAACGTATATGAACAGGTCCCAGTCCGAGAAAAGGATGGAAGGATCCTGTTCATATGGACCTGTCGTCAGACAGAACACTAAATAAAAATAAATTTCTTAAGGCTGCATAACGCACAATGGGCTCATACTATTAGGTCTGACCTCATATTATACTTCACGGTTTCAAACAAACAAACCTTCATTTTCCATAAAAGACGAAGACTTTTTCCACTAGCTGAGTGTAATATTAGCTTGTCAAGAAGGGCTGTTCTCCGTGGAGTTAGTTTAGTTACATTTTTGAAAGAAAAAAAAAATCAGCATCAAGAGTACTGTATTAAATTTCTTGGGCTGTTCGCAGATTGGAGACAGCAGTAACCCGATACCGTTAGAATTTAACCCCTTAAAGCTCTGTAGTACCTAAATGCACCACCTGCTTTAACTATCAGTAATTCTGCATTTTGTATTTATGTCTTTCGTATGAATCTCACAATAAACATCGATTATTTCCTTAAACAGCGTTAACCGGTTGATCTTCGTAATGGTGAAGTGCTGTGTTTACTTCGCGGTACGGACTGAATTCTTAAATATTTAGACAAGCTTCAACTTCAAAGGGTTAATCAAAAACCAGTCAGTCACATGTAAATGTACCAACACGCGGGTACAAAGAGAACCAAACCCATTTTGCACACAGAAAACAGACGATATTGCTCTCACCGGCGACAGATACTTTTGAGGTCCAGCAGTCATGTGCATTAAAAGCGACGCGAAATGTTCACGCACTGTTCAAACACTACATGGGACTCGTACAGGCCTGTCTCAGCCAAACTAATTCTGCTACGTGACTCTGAAATAATGTTCTGTCTGCAGCTCACAAAGGACACTGGCGATACAAAAATAGTTACCAAGCGCACGACAGTGGCTGACACAATTATGGGAAGTCACTAACCTTGTTCAAATGTAACATGTACGCGCATTGTTTTGATTACGGTACGTTGTTTGTCCCGACAAAGGCCAGTGATTATCTGCATGAGAGCGCTGATCTCTTTGTGTCGCCATTAAACAGTGTCGTGTCTAGATCCCCTTTTCGTCATATGACCTATCTCCTTGGTAACGATATAGGAATTAATAAAATACGCTCACCACTTGAAGTTTAATTTATTTTATTTCATCAGAGTCTCAAGGATTTTATACGTGGGGTAAATTTTTTAAAAAAAAGTGTTTTACTAAGTATTTATCTCAACGAAGTAAGGTGCTGTCTGTTAAAGCAGGTGGTACTTATAGTTACTATCGAACTTTAATGGGTTAAATATACGTAATTATAATTTATTGTACACACGCCTACAAGGAAGTTTTCTTAGATCAAATGTGAGCATTCAACTCTGAAAACTGTGACGAGTATTTATTGAGAAAAATATTACAAATCCCATGATACTAGGAATAAATTGCAATTACTTAAACTTTTACTTGGTGGGTTTTTAGGTATAAATTTTCTCCAGATTCTGGACATAACACAGAGCAGTGAACACTCTTGGATACAGCATGTCCTACCTGATGCCTGCCTCATGTACCGAGGCGTAAATATATTTTTCATCCTAACATTTAGCTGTCGACAGATGGCACTGTCCACCCCGAGAGTCCCTCAGTTTGACAGTCCCATTTCTCACATTCAATTATCACGTTATCTCGGGCAGTCTCTGTTTATCGTAGCTTGTACCAATATCACCGGAGCGACGTGAAACCAGCGGTACGAACTTTCAATTTCATCCACTATTTGTTTTTGTCGCTGGTTTTAAAATTAAAAGAACCGAATACATGTTTTAAATTTATTTCTGACCTTAGACCTACTTTCTATGTTATCGTAGATAGTAGGATAATATTAAAATGTATCTTAGAAGAGTGTGGTCTGGAATTTAAGGCTTTGACCGGGATGTTCTTTTGTTAAATCTTATGTGGTACCGCCTGATTCGACTTCTAATGGTTCAGTGAAGTGTTTTCTTCGCGGTACGGTCTGGATTCGTAAATAATATTCAGACGAGCTTCGGCTTCAAAGGGTTAACCAGCTGATTTTCGTAATGGTGAGGTGTAGTGTTTTCTTCGCGGTACGGACTAAATTCATAAATAATATTCAGACGATCTTCGGCTTCAAAGGGTTAACTGGATCAGCGGGTGTGGACTCTTGTAAACGCGATAATGAATATTCTACAAAAGGCAGGGGAATGATAATTTCTGTGACTATTACGTGAATAGTTGGTTTATGGTTATGTAACTGGGGAATTTCCCTTCTAGTATATACTTGATCTTATGAGAAATAATGGGTAAAGAGTTGGAATAGAGCCAAGGACATTCCGTCACAGTTTCGATCCGAACCCCGTCCCCGTGTCGTAACCGAGGCTCTCCGATCCATCTGACTCCACTATTTATGTTATATGTTGATTTTCCCAGCCGAGAAGTACGTTTTTTTTTTGTTTTCTTTTTGGGGAAAAAAGATCTCCTGCGTCTACTTTACATAGACGGGGCAGGAAAGTGAAAAATTTTTAGCTCTGAAACCTTGCCGGCTTCTCAGTTCTTTGTCACATTACAATTTATTTATTCGTTTGTGGGATTCGAGGTTCTTACGTCGGTGAGTACGAGGCAGAAAAAACCCTCTCAGACGTCGGTAAACTTCTAACAGACTACAACCCAAAGACATTAATCTTTTTTGTTTATTTATCGAAGCTGACAATAGTTCCATAAATATTATCCAATAAGAGCATGATAATGAATTGAAAAGATGTAGAATTAGCGGTTGTGGTCCAATTTAAGCTGCTATAACGGCATTTATCCAGAGGAACTAAGAAAAATCACAAAACACCTAAGCGGTTCCAGACAACAGCAAACTTTCCTAATCTTGTTGCTAATACTGCTACTTAGTGCCGTACACTGCGGATGATTGAATAAAGAACATGACTACGTCATCACATACTGTTTTTTTTTCAGAGCCCAGCTGATTATAATAGACAACGAATATTTGCTGATAAGTCACAAAGGTAGTTTAGAATTAAAACCAATTGAAGCATAAAACGCCCATGCGATGTCATGGTAACGGTGATGACCTCAGAGGTCACACTGCATTGCACATTTACAACTCGATTCATATTAAACCGTAATTGGATGGAGTTCTTACATTCTGTACTATTTATACCATGTAAAATGAAAGCAAATATTTGCTTGCCCTCTTCAAAAGCAAAAACAAGATTAAATAACTACGTGGAGCAGAGTCCTTGAAATGCTGATAAGACATTCAGTTGATCACAAATTTCCTCTAGTCTTATCTCACCCCTCGGTTCAATACCGGGATCTTCACACGAGGACGCCAATGGACTCATTACTCGCTCAACATGTTTGAACACAGGGGAAATAAATGGGTGTCGGACTGACAGACAGACAAATAAAAACGATTACAAAAAGTCAAAACGTTGATAAACTGTTGGTACGAACAGCTAATCAAGAAATTCCCCGCCTTTTGTGGAACAAAAACGTTCATCACTGTACCCTATCCAGAGCCAGATGATTCCAACCCACATTTCTCTATGATTTAATGTAATTATTCCATTTATTCCTACATTTCCCTGGTGGTCTCATACGTCCAGACGTTCATCTTTATAAATATTGAAAATACACAACAGAAAATTCAATAAAAAAAAACATCCACGTTCCGTTCGGGCTTCGAACCATCTACTTCAGACTACGTTAACCTAAGGAAGTTATCATCTTAAACCATACTGCACACATCATGAGTCAACGTAAGATAAGAAATTATTGTGTTCAGATACTTTCCTAACGCTTAAAATAAATTACAGACCTTAGCAAATCATGTGTGATATCGTACGCACTTACTTCGTGGACCCCAGTAAGTCTGGACAGCCGAAAAGTTTAGTCTGCCGGAAGAGGTTGATGTATATTCCGTTCAGGGTGTATTGTAGTCTCGGGTTAGGTTGTCCATTAGTCAGAGGGCGTTACAATAGGCGCGTGAGACCTCTTTTGAGGGAACGGGAAATTGCACGTCTGAAACAATTAGAGCAAACAGATAATCCTCTCGGGGCGACGGGTCCAGAAATGTTAAAAATCGGGGCAGGACATTTAGGTTCAGTCCCTTTAGACGACGTCAATTAAGGTTTAGTGCGGACTACGGCCATCACAAAACTGTTTCCCAATATCAAAAGTCAGTCAGTATATTTAATTTCAGTAAGATTAATTATCAGACTTGGACAACTATTTCACAATCAGTAAACGTGCATGAAACCTAACATTTGAATATTTCATAAGAAATGAAATAGGAAGACGATGTCGGAGACCTAGATGTAGATAGAATAATATGGATTTTAAAACAGTAATGGAGTGGATTAAACTAGCTTAGGATAGGGTACATTCGCGGTATATTTTTAAAACAGTAATAAGAATATGAGTTCCATAAAAGACATATAATTTTATCAGTAGTTGAAACAGGCCATCAGCTTCTCTCATGAAGGTCTGCTACGTTACGTTCTGACCTACTAACAGCGTGAGATGAAACTCGTGTTAATGCGTTCTTTTGAAACGCACGCCACCTCTGCATAATTCACACGCGTTCATTTCTAGAAGCTGTTACCTCCGTTCGTCACTCAGTTTACATCTGACAGAAATTCATGCATTCCAGAAGTTTCTGATTACATCAGTCACTCCATCGCAATTCATTTCGCCTTTCTACATATTCATGCGGATGAACAGTGAAGCCTACCTAAGTTCATTTTCGGAGTACATTTTCAACGCGATAAAATATCTCTTTCAGAGGCGAAAAGAGATTGTAATGCAAGGAGCGGAATTTAGTAAATGCATTACATACATTCGAACATCTTCTTTGTACATTACACATGATATTGTAACAAGACTGAAGGTGTAATTCGGAATAAACACACGCGCTCTTTACAAATTCTTAAATATCAATAAAATATTACATCATCTGTCTTACTTAAACAACTTTAGCCTATTTTTATTTGTAGTGTTCTGTCTGGCGACAGGTCCATATGAACAGGATCCTTCCATCCTTTTCTCGGACTGGGACCTGTTCATATACGTTCTTGGCAGATGATCCAGAAGTGGTTTGCCATTGCCTTCTTCTGTGTGTGAATGGAGTAATTGTTGGGATGCCACGGAGGAAAACTCCGTGTTGCCTAGACCACGGCCTTGCCCAACACAAGTTATAAATGCGGGCACCGCCGGGAATCGAACCCGAAACCCCAGGATTACAAGGCCAGCGTTACGCCAGGGAAGCTTAGGTCCTTCGTAAGTGACATCTTTTGATTTGTGACCTTAATGTTCTGACCTTCGAAACCGCACGTTATAGCTGTCGGATGGAGTAATTGTTGGGACGCCACGGAGAAACCGGGGAAGCCCCCGGAGGAAAACTCCGTGTTGCCTAGACCACGGCCTTGCCCAACACAAGTTATAAATTCGGGCACCGCCGGGAAACGAACCTGAGACCCCAGGATTACAAGGCCAGCGTTCTAACCGCTAGACCACCGTGGCAGGTTACTTTAGCCTACAACTATAAAAACAGTGGGGTCTTAATGTATTATTTAATTAATTTAAATCGACATCAATGCGTCACAGCGCGCGTTATTTCCGTGGTAACACATTGAATCCGTACGCACGGTTTCACATGTTGAAATCCTCGTAAGTCGAAACATTACTTTTCTTTCGCGCGGCCGCCATGTTGTTATTTTCATTATACAAAGATGTCGACACATCACTGTGTGGTCCTATTTCCTAGTAGCGTTAGTAGCTAATAGGGCAAGTCTGCTCGCCCACCATGTACCTTATCATGTAACGATGGGTGTGTTCTTCAAAGAGACACGCCGTTAATGATTTTGGCTTTGTACGAAACTTAAGAAACAGTCGGTGTGTTAATGTGGATGAAGAAAGGCCATCTATATAAATCTCAATCGAAGTTCAAGTGACCTGGAACGTACTTTCTCGTTCCGATAGACAGTAATTGGAGTCAGATAAAATGAAATACAACTTATTATTAACGCTTCCGACAGGAATTGTTTCTTTCACGAGAGAGAGAAAGAATGTTGTATCTCACTAAACTTGATAATGTTGCTTGTCTTCGCATTAAATATTATATTTAATTTATTACACAGAAAATCTTAAGTTAAAGCAAAATGTAAATAACGCTGTGGTAACCTAACCTGAATATTCAACGCCATTAACATCAAATTCCGATATTGAACGCTATTTTAAAAATAATTCCATTCATTTCAACTCTCGGCACTCCGTGGTAGCTGTCCACGGAATAAGCCTTACTCTCAATCTTTAAAGCTAATCAACCGAACATTGAAACATTTCGCTTTACGCCATATTTCATTCGGCACATGAAAATGGTGTGATGTGCAGAAATTTGACGTCACAAAACTGGAAGATGAGCTTCATATCGAGATTGATTTGTCATAAACATCGTATACGAGAAAGCATGAAAATTATATCCCCCCTCTCTCTCTTTCTCTCTCCCCCAAAGCAACACATGGAAACGTATGGTCACAGAATTCATGTGTATTTACCTTCCTGCATTGTATTTACCTTTCAGCATTTCCTTGCAAAAGTTTTACATTTTATGTGTAATAGCGATTTTATATGCGGGTCATTTAATTGCAAGGCTGAATCGCTAGAAGGCGCATGAAACGGTAAGCAATTATACGAACTTCCCGTTATAACGAGCTGTTGACCCGAAATGCTCAGTTCCCAAGCGGCGCGTGTAGATAATGATTCATTGGATCACTGCCTACAGTATACACAAAGATTTTTAACTGACATATGCAAACTCTATTACGGAAAATACACGTTCTTAACACACAAGCGAGTAATTTGTCAGTTACGACGAAAAAAGACATTAATAAATACGATTTGAGGTTCTCACGGTGGCGAGTACGAAGATGGCTGTCTTCTGGGTTGTAACGCCGTGTAGTCTGGTGAATGTTTACCGACGTTTCGGAGGTACTTCCTGCTTCCATCATCAGGACACCAGAGCTACAACGCAGAAGACGGTAATCTTCCCGAAACATTACTGAACGTGTTTTTATATTAAGTATATTCAAATTATCAAAATCACTGAAGACAAATACTCTTGTTTTATTCCAAGCAGGTAACTCCTTTTGTATTTACCCACATCAAATTTAGTTCGCTAAACGAAGTGTCGTTTACCTTCTTCAAAACTTAACATTTACTCAGGTAGTCAAGACGATTTCCCGCCCTTCAAGAACCCGAAGGTTCATTACCGTGTTCACAAGACCCTACAACTAGTCCCTATCCTGAGCCAAGTCATTATCATCACAAACTATTGCTTTAAGACTAATCTTTATTCGATCATCTACGACTAGGTCTTCCAAGTGGTCTCTTACTTATATTTCTACCTTGTGTGTCATGTGGTTAGTCCTTGCAGTTTTTAAAACTTAAATTAATTTGACATCAATGACCTTCATAACATTGGTAAAGCAGAGAAGATACAAAAATACAGTTACTTAACGTTAACTAACAAACCAACCAACTATAAGGCATAAGATCTTTGAACAGTTGAAAAGTCCAAGAAATTCCCTGCTTGTATGAGACTGACAGTCCGTCACTGATCTTATACTGAGGCAGTTTAATCCATTTCAAATTTTTGACATCCCCAACTTTTTACTCCAACATCTACAGGGTGTTCATTATTTTAATGTTTGAAATTGCGTTTGCGTAATCATCGGAGTTTATTTTTATAGCATTAATTGTGAACATTGAATGATACACTACAGAACGGAGGGTATTTGTTGTCAATTTTAATATTATCGTTCCACCCACGCCTATACTTCCAACCCAGCACGCACCAGTGTCAAATCAAAGAGAAAGGACAAAGGACAAACTCGACCACAGCCTACAGGATCGATACGGAATGCACACTGACCTTTATGTCAGCTGTACGAGTGACCTCTTGAGTCGTTAATTCCTCACGACCTGCCAAACTGGCGTAATGAATTTTAGCATTTATTTACCGACTCCCTCACTCATTAATTAATTTAATTAATTATTCATGGTTTACTTAACGGGCGCTGTCGAATGACATTGCGAGGAACACAGACTTCTGGGACAATGATCCGTACAGTCTCGTAGAGGTTGGCCGACGTTTCGGAGGTGCGTACTGTCTCCATCATCTACTGATGGATAACAGGTCAACTTTTGTCAGACTACACAGAACGAAGCGTTTGCAACTAAACTTGAGGTATCATATCCCGGCTTTTGTATGGAGGTACTGAGGAAACAAACGTAAACCTCATTAGCGACAGCCGTTCTCCGTGTCGAGATTTGAATCCCCAGATCAACAGAATCACCAAAGAACAGCTAACTGTTAGGCCGAGACATTTTATGATAAAATGAAAATACTTCAGAGTTTCAAAACGGAGTCCTGAGGGGAAAAGATCTATTTGGACCTAATCAGGCGGAACTTACAGATTGGCGATAATTACACAGTGAAGAGCTTCATAATATTTAATAATTCAACAGAAGCTCTGAAGTATTAATATGAATAATCTCCAAAAGACGTGCATTTCCTTAATGTTATTCAAATCTCGCTTCACTGTAGAGCTTTTAATATTATTTTTATATTTGAATTGCCTGTCATCCAATCAGTAATCAATCAGTTTTTATAATATTCTGTAAATAACTGTTGCCACACGGGATATTTTCTAGTGAAAATATAAAACATGAAATACAAAATATTAAATGCCGAATACTCGTTGCATAAGTTCATTAAAAAGCAAAATATTTGTTGAATAACTTTAATCGCATTTTACAGAGAAATTTCTCGTTCTCTGGGAAAAGCTATGCGATTTATAACCCAAGAGATTTTCTTTCATCAGTTCACCCTTTTCTTATTCCTATTTTTCTCTGTTTTTACATTTTATTTCAAGATTATTTACCAACCAAATCAAATCGTAATCCCATAGGTACATAACGCCAACCCAACAAAACCAATTTATATATTCCTATTGTCTATC